CTACTACTACTACTACTACTACTACTACTACTACTACTACTACTACTACTACTGCTACTACTACTACAATAATAAAATGATAGTAAATGATTACGAAATGTATTTACTACCAACTCACAGATGTATAGGAGTGTGAGTTCTGTGAGTTTGTACACAATGTTGTGCGTGTGGTGAGATTGCGCGTTGCAAATGAGCATTTGAACGGTATTTCCGCGGAATTATTAGTCGGTACAGAATACAGAAGACTTTAGTAGTAAATACATTTCGTGATTATTTACCATCATTTTATTACTAAAATGTTCTAAGTTAATGTGGTGGCGGTTGTGGTTGCGCTGCTGCTGCTGCTGCTGCTTCTGTTACTTCTGCTGTTACTGCTGTTACTGCCGCTACCGCCACCACCGCTGCTGCTGCCACTGCCATGCACTAATGTTGCTGACGCTATAGTGTTGAAAGCTCGTCCATATCATGATAGATATTCATAAGCGCGTTCAGTCGATGCCCGTGTGTGCGATGCACCAGCGAGCACCACATGGGCACGTTTGCGTTGCATTTACGCGGACCCATTAAAACAACAAAAGACTCTTCAAAGGAATAATATTTTTGTTTGAGAAGTATACCGTGACACACGGCCCCGCGTCGGCAACGCACCCTGCTCTGTTTGTGCGACAGATGAACGTGCAAACAATGGCCGCCGTGATGCTGTCAAGTATAGTTTTTGTAGACGTTTACATTTTATAGGTTAACAACGCCGCGTACACAAAGCAGGTGCATGCGCCCGAACCGCGCACGTTTGCCATGGAATCAAATCAGGTTCGTGTATATGTCACGGCAGACTGTTTAGACAAATACCGCCGAAAGTGCTTGTCACAGCCTGAACGAGCTGGCTATATAGCCGCACGACAGCAACTGGCACATGGCACACACAGACGGACACACAGATGCTCACAGCATATCCCCCTTTTATTATATTCATTTTTGTAGCTATTGGATACCTTTTGACTTTCCCTCTCTTTCTCTCTGCTTCCCCTTTCTTTCTCCCAACACTCTCTCTCGTTTTTCTCTCTCTGTCTCTCTCCCTCTCTGTCTCTCTCCCTCTCTCTCTCTCTCTTTTTTTCTCTCTCTCTCTCTGTCTCTCTGTCTCTCACTCTCTCTCTCTCTCTATCTCTCTCTCGTCTGTTTCGTTCTCTCCCTCTCTGACTCCATGCGTGCGTTTTTATTTATCATTTATTTTATCTATCTGTTGCTACACAATGTCAAATTAAACACCGCTGTTATTGTTGGCATCTTTCTAGTATTCGTCCATAAATTTATTTCCACATATTTCGGCGAGAAGCTAACTGTTTACACTGACAACTAGACACTGACAACTAACCGAGTACATCGTGGCCGGTACTACTAATAATAATAAAATAACTGTGTCAGCCTTCGCTGACCCCTCCCTCCACCACGAAACGAATTAAGCATCGAGGAGTCCCTCCCCCGCCTCCCGCCCAGTCGTTTTCCTCTCCACGGATGCCGCCAATGATGACACACGCACCTAAACACTCTCCCGTGCGCTAATGCAGTCTTAGCTGGAGGGCAGTGGGTTTATTATTGGCCGCACACGTGCGTGCCTGCAGACGCCTCATGCTGGGTGCATCACGCGCCGGGGCGACCGCCACGCGCGCGCTCTCTCCCTCTCTCCCTCCCGCGCCGTATATCGCCAGGCAGCAGTGACAGCGATGGGACGGCGCGGACAGGCGGGCTCGACCATCTGTCCCTCCGCCGTTCGGCTGCCGCGACCCCGCTCGACAATGTATCGAGCCATCTGCCCACGAAATCCGCCCCGCTTTGCATTCAGGCGGGGCGTGCTCGCTGGCTGGCTGCGCATTAAGGTTCAGCGTGTTACTGGCGCTGTGGGCGGATTCTTTTTTTATTTATTATGAAACTCACCGTTCCGTAACGTAACGTTTGATTAGTAATGTCACTCTGCTGTTTGACGATAAATATTTTCGGGCGCATTGTCTAAACAGTGGTTCCGGTAACCACCGGAAGCGCTAATAACCGTCTGAGCGTTGTCATGGCGACAGAAAAACAATAACATATTAGTATCATCGCTCATTGTTTGAGCTTTATTGCTTTTTTTTTGTATATATCAGCACACATTTAACATAACATCCGATGGTGGACGTTAGATTATCACGTGTGGTTCAAACTCTATATATCACGTTTTTCTGTTCCACGCTAAAATTCCCTTAAGATTGCAACGATCGAATCCGTTACTGACACACTCTTTTTAATAAATATTTTTATTCAGTAAGTATATATAAATAGCTTGGATAGTAGCATCGTGATGTTCTAAATTCGCTAGAATCGAAGTTAGTAGCGATTCGAGGGGCGTCATCGTAATCCGGTGCGCTATGTATAGCATCACGCTAATAGTTACAATCGCCGCCGCCGAGAGAGCAAAATAGAAACAATATATCATATAAAAGTAGCAGTCATAAAACTACATACGTTAGAAACGTGTCTTCGATAAATAAACGATACCACTACGACAACCGCTACTATTGCTACTCTCTACTTATCGTGCTACGGGCTAGACATACTATCAATACACGATACATAGTATACGTCAATACGCAGCGATTTAGAACGGAAGTTACGTAAGAGGAGATTCGGCGGCGCACTGCTGGGGCAACCAAGCTTCCGGCGTGCATCACCGCGGTACCCTAAAGCTAGATAGCAGCACCATCGTAACCGTGAAACACTCCTTCCGCGGCTCAGATGTGTGATAGCAAAGGTTATCACTGGCGCTCTTTATGCGGTTGCTACGACTACCACACCTCTAGCGTGTTACGTTCGCGTGTAAACTCGAACTTTAAGTTCAATCTCATTTTAATTGAAAACCGTCGAGGCCACGATGGTGTACCGGCTTATACAAGATAGTCGAGTCGTAGCGCCTAGATATCAAATATACCAGCAAGTTGATCAGATAGCTGCCTATATACTTAAAGCTACTAAACTCTACACACGTCCGATACGTTTTCTATCATACTCGTAATCCGGTACATCCGCTTTTAATTTAAAGTGTGTATATTATTATAGAATACACCCTACTTAACATTCAATGCATATATCAATATTATCAACGTCGTTTGATAATATATATATATATATATATGCGAGCTGTATCTAATAATTATCAACTATTCCAAAATCCATGGACGCAAAATCCATGCATGGATGAAATCAGACTATTGTGCTAATGCAATTACGGCAATATATAACCCTGCGTGTGTCGGAAATTGCGGAGGGTGCAAACACACGCGCGTAAGAGATGGTTATCCAACGAGCAGAGACAGCGATGAATACATTTTCTTGCCACGTCAGCGGTGGACATCGGCCATTCGAAATTTACGTTGCATCAACGCATCGGTCAGGGAAGTCTGCAAATAAAACCACACCAAGTGAATATATACACACACATACATTTATACATGCGTCGTCCACTTATGTAATGAATCGTGTATTTACAGAATACGCAATGCGCTGGCATTCTATTGCCCATCAGTATCTCTGGAATCATTCTGCCAGGCCCCTTCAATGGGTCTTTGTGTGAGCCAGGCGGGGCAGCTGCATCTGTCGATTGCACTGTGCTGCCATCTATTGGCAGCCAAAGTTTGAATGGTTGGTTGTTATGGAAACACCGCTGTAGAACCATCACGTGCCGATTACCGCCGATGCCTCTGAATACTTCTTAATCCGGAAATTTGGGGGTATGTATAATGTTATTTCTATATATTACCTTAGCGAAATACTGAGTTATTTAGACACAGCTGTTATCCTTAATACGGACAGTGACGCCATTCTGAAATTATTATATTATTATTATATCACATTATATCATTATTCACCTTTAACTACTCCTCTTACTCCTGGTTGCTGTTCATGCGGCGGCGCATTGCGCTCATGCTGGGCGATTGACCCTGTAGGAAAATAAAAACATTTAGCAGCACACACTGTGGGGCCAGATAAGTTGCCCAGCACCGATCTAGAGTGTCAACCCGAGGTGTACATGTCGTTCGTACATAGCGAGGGAAAAATATGATTACAATAGTATTAAGTCAAATAAAAAGACTGTAATTCAATATATATATATATATATATATATATATGGGGGTTGCACGCACACATACGGACGGCAGCGGATCATGTCCGGTTTATAGATTCTGACGTCCCTCTTCTATACAGTTTAACGAGATTGTGAAAGCGCGCGATGCGGCGCCGAGGCGCGTTTGATGTTATATTTCATACATATTCAGGCGCACCGCGCGGCCGCGGAAAATCTCGCGACGCGCTGCGAGAGGAAAGCGGTGAAATCAATTAGAGCAATGAGCCTGTGTGGTGGTGACAAAGCTGCCGACGCTGCTTGTGTGAGGCGGCTGGTGGCGTTGCTGGACCGGCTGAATTTAAAGCCCAGCGCGCTTACTTTGCTATTTAAAAGGGCTGCTGCTGCTGTCGCTGTTGCTGCTGCTGCTGCTGCTGTTGCTGTCGCAGCTATATCGTACCGGTCTGACGTGGCTCGCCGAGCGCGTCATCGCACGCAGCTTTCCAACCATCGCCTCCGCTTCCTCGGCCCTCGCCTCCGACTCCTCCAGCTGCGACTGCACCTTGCGAAACTTTGACAGATTCATGTTGCCCACCTCCTCGGCCTCCTCGATCTGCCGCTTGAACATGCTTATCTTTCCATTGACGCGGTCGAGCAGCTCTTGCAGGTGCTCCTGGCTCTTCTTGTCTTCTTCCATCTGGTTGTGCATATCCTTGACCTGTCGGTCCGCCTTGCGGTAGTTCTTCTGCAGGTCGCTGTGCCGACGCTGTTCGCTAGCCAGCTCGCTCTCCAGCTCGCGCACGCGCTGCTCTAACTTAGAGATCAGCTTCTTGCCTCCCTTCAGCACGTTTGCCTCGGCCTCGTCCAGACGCACTTGCATCTCCTTCAGTTGCTGCTCGAGCGACTTGCGCGCTCTCTCGCAGCCGTTCGCGTGCTCCTGCTCTCGGTGTAGCTCCTCGGCGAGGCGGGAGGCGTCGGCGGAGGCGGTCCTCGCCTTCTCGTCTGCGTCCTTCATCTCCCTGATCGTCTCGTCAAGGTCGGCCTGCATGGCGGCCATCTCGCCTTCTAGTTTCCGCTTGGCGGCGCTGGCGCTCGTCAGCTGCGACTGCACGTCGCCGACGCGCTCGTTCGCTTCGTTCAGCTCGCTCTCGATGCCGCGGCGGTTGTGCTCGGAGAGCTCCAGCGCACCGCGTGTCTCCTCCAGCTCGGTGGACAGCGCCCCACAGCGGCGCTCGCTGGCGGCTAGCTGTTCTCGTAGCTGGTCGCGCACGCGCTGCTCATCGTCGATCTGCGCCTGAAGGTTGGCGATCTCCTCCTGCTGCTTCTTCAGGTTCCTCTGCGCGTCGGCGTTCTGTCGGTTGGCGCCATCTAGCGACAGCTCGAGCTCGTGTATGTCGTTCTCCAGCTTCTTCTTCATCTTCATCGCCTCGGCGCGGCCCTTCGCCTCCGCCTCGAGGCTCGCCTGCATCGAGTCGACGGCGCGCTGGTGGTTGCGGCGCGTCGTCTCGAACTCGTCGTCCTTCTCGGCGAGGCGGCGGTCGACCTCCTGGCGGATCTGCTGCAGCTCCAGCTGCGAGCGCACCACCTTCGATTCCTCCTGCTCGAGCGCCGCCTCGGCTTCCTCGAGCGCCGACTGCAGCTCCTCCTTCTCCTGCATGGCCTTCCTGCGCGCCTTGTCGAGGTCGTGCATGCTCCTTCCCTCCTCTCCCAACTGATCGGTCAGATCCTTCATCTCGTCGGCAAGACTCCTGTTCTCTCTCTTCAGAGCCTCGTTGCCGTCGGCTAGCTCCTCGTTGACCGTCTTCGACTTGAACATCTCCGTCGACATGGTGCGACACTCTCGCTGCGACGCCTCCAGTTCGGCTGCGATGTCGTCAATCTTCTGCTTCGACTCGGCGAGCGTCTTATCGAAGTTGCGCTGGCGTTTCTCGGCGGCGCTGGCGGCGGCGTTGGCGCGTTCGACCTCTATCGACATGTCGTCAAGGTCGTTCTGCAGGCGATGCTTCTGCTTATCGACGCTGGCCACCTTAGACTTGAGCGCGTCGATCTGGTCCTCCGCCTCCATGAGCTTTGCTTGCAGTTTACGCCTGTAGGTGCACGGAAACTCACGGTAAGGTGACCATCTAGCTCTACATGATACTGTTATTTTTTTAAATATATGATGCTTAAAGTATGGTGCTACAATCCTATGCGATTTTCTTCACTTTTTATAGTTAAATTGTCGTATTGTACTAGGAGTAGATAATAGTGGTTGGCGCACAGTATGTGATATTTAAAAGGCAAAATTGTATTCACAAATATTATCCGTATAGAACTATGCCATAGTGACATAGTCAGTCTAAATGCTTCACGATAGACGTTGTTCAGTGCAGTTGTAAAAGGGAAATCACCCATGCATGCTGACCTCGACAGTTTCCGGAGCGGTTGCCGTACATACTACAATTATATACATAATATTATTACATAAGTAAATACAATTAAACAAGTACAGCAATATAATTATTACTTGATCTCCTCTGCCTCCGCTCCTCCGCCGCCGAGACCTTCGGCTTCGACGCGTGCGCGGAGCGTCTGCAACTCGTTGGTGACCTTGGCGAGTTGTCTTAGCAGCTGCGACCTGGCTTCCTCTCCCTCCTCCGCTTGTTCGCGCAGCTGCTCGATATCGTGCTGCGCGTTCCTTAGCTGCGACTGCAGCGCCAACTTCGCTTTCGACTCATCCTCTAGGCTGTTGCGCGCCTCCTCGAGCGAACTCTGCAGCGACGCCTTCGCTCGGTTCAGCTGGTTGATCTGCGCCTCAGCTTCCTCTAGCTGCCGCATGAGGTCGCTAACGTCGTTGTTGAGTTTCAGCTGCTGGGCATTGAGCGTGTTGATGATGCGCGATGACTCGTCAAGACGGCTGTTCGCCTCTCCCAGCTGATTCTCCATCGACTTGGCCAACTTCTCGGCTTGTTGCTAAAGACGCGATAATCTATTATTAATACGATTTCTTTGATTAGTGCGAAGCCCGATGACTGTAGTAATTAGTATTTGTGAATGCACGGCTTCGGATAGTTGGGTACGTTTATAAATTGTTCTCTCTAAATTAAAAGTATGATTTCAACGAAATACAATTACATTCATTTGATAAAATCTAAACATACAGTTGCATGTGTCATGTGGGATACATATCGTCATTCATTAGTTGATTTAAATTTTCATAATATAATGTGAGTGATAAAGCCTTATTATTATTAAAGAGAGGCACTAGGATTTACTTCTCACGTCAAGCCAGCACGACGAATATTTGCTCTCTATTTTAAAAGTATAATTTCAACAAAATTCCATTTCTTTTATTTAATAAAGGCTGGACATACTGCTGCATATTTCATGTAGGAGACATTTATTCGTCTATTGGCTGATTTAAATTTTCTTAGTGCTACCTCAGCTAGGACATCCTTTCATTATTAAACATATGTATCGGGATATATTTCATGTCAGTGTACTGCGACGAATATTTGCTCTGCACTTCAAAAGGGGGTAATTTCAGCAAAATAATATTTTCTTTACTTGATAAAGGCTGCACATATGAGGATTGTTATTTACACGTAGGACACGCATTGCCATCTATTGGCTAACGTAAACTTAATTAGTGATAAGTTAAACTAAGCATTCCATATTATTAAAGCGAGGCATCGGGAATTCTTTTTAATATCAAACTAATGCAATGAGTCATTGCTGTCCATTTTAAAAGTGTAATTCAACAAAATAATATTCTATTTGGCAGATACTAGGCATACGCGAATGTTATGCCTCTCGCTATGTTACAAAGTAGAAATTTGATACAAGTAGTCAAACTAAAGTAATAAACTGTGCTCTCTAAATTAAGAGTAATAATTAAACATAATACTTACCTAATATATTAATATAATAAGTGAATTATAAAAAATAAGTAATAACTAATGTATACTAACTAATAATATATTAAAGTAATACACATATACTAATAAGCTATCCGTCGGGAAACGTGTTTGGATTACGTAAAGTATAAACTAAATCGTAGAAGCAAGTGCATAGAAAATAGATAATTGTGTTATTTTTCTAATAGAATGGATATTTTTACGCACCTTTGCTTTAGCTACGTGTTCCATGTTCAATCGCAAGTCGTCCATATCGCGAGTGAGCTCGTGCTTCTCTCGTTCTAGTCTGCAGGCAAGAGTATATAGCAAGATACAAGTCAACAACAAAAGGTGACGCACGAATATAGAACTAACTTTGACCCTTCCCCATCTATAAAACCTATCTGTTAGGGAAGCGGTATATCTAAGCTTTCTTGACCTTTTATAGTACTAGAGCGACGCCCGAATTTAAATGACCGTTAAAGTTTATTTTTTTAGTAAATGTAAAAAGTTTATGCGAGCTGACATACGTACAAAGTCGGTTAGGTTTCTTTCAATCTAGCGTAAGTTTACTTCACCCCTAACCACTACACTACTAGAGCCATGCCCAAATTTAAAATTACCCTTAAATCTTTTCCATTTAGAATACGTTACAAATCACCGTGATCCTGTAGAAGTATAGAGCTGACTGAACTTTCTATATGCCTTACATACACTCGGACTTACTTTGCCTTAATCTTCTGCAACTGTTCAATTTGTTCCGCCATCTCGGCGATGATATCGTTCTGCTTCTTGCGCAGCGACGAGACGGTCGCTTCGTGCTGCATGGCCTGCTCCTCGAGATCTCTACGCAGCTTCGCCAATTCCGCCTCGCGCCTCTTGTTCAACTCGAGCTGCGCGCCGGTGGCGCCACCTGCCTCCTCGAGCCGCTCGTGTAGTTCTTCGAGCTCGCGCGCGAGTTCGGCGCGCTGCTTCTCGACCTTGGAGCGCGCCTGCCTCTCCGCCTCCAGCTCCTCCTCTAGCTCCTCGATGCGCGCCTGCAGCTCCTTGATCTTCTTCTGCAGCTGACGAATGACTCCGCGGTCGTCTTCCATCTGGCTGTGCAGCTGCGCCATCTCCTTCTCCTTCCTGCGCACGCTCTCCTCCACCTCCTTCCGGGCGCGCTCCATCTCTTCAATGCCCTCCTGTGCGATCTTCAGGTCTCCCTCCATCTTCTTCCTGGCCTTCTCCACGTCGGTGCGTATTTTTCTTTCTCTCTCCAGGTTATCTTCCAGTTCGTCGAGTTCCGCTTCCATCTTGGCTTTGGCCTTGGCCATTTGGTTGGCTTTTTCCTCTTCCTTTTGCAGTTCCGCTTGCGCTCGCTGAAATAAGGTGAGCAAATAGAATAAATTGAGCGGTGTTTCGATTAGTATTAAGCATGATGTATTATTATTATTATTATTATTATTATTATTTGTCATTTTGATTAGAAATGAATGTAACTTTAATAAACCCGTTGTTTATTAAAATTATTACAATCGAGGTCATCACGATAATTATGTTGTAAATATAGGGAAATAAAATCGTTGTTTTACTTAAAATTAATATGAAAGATGTTGAATAAAACCACTGTCTCAGTTAACATTCTTTATTATTATTTCCCTGTTAATTTTAGTAAAAACCAGTAGAACAGATAACCTGCCCACCATGAGAGTTTCTTCCAGCGCTCTCTTAGCCTTGCTTGCTATCGCCGCCGCCTCCTCCTGCTTCGCAAACTCCTCGTTCATCTGTCTGATTTGCACGTCTCGTATCACCTTCTCGTTCTCGACCTTCTTCAGCTTGCGCTCCAGCACCTCTAGCAGTCCTCGCAGGTCGATGCACTCTGCCTCGGCTCTCTTCCTCGCCTCGGCGAGCACCAGCGTGCCGTGCTCCTCTTCGAGGAGCCGCTCCTCAACCTCTTTCAGCAGGGCCTCGAGTTCGAGCTTCTGCGTGATCAGCTTAGCGGCTCGTTCTTCGATGGTGCTGATGTCTTCGAGGTCGGTCTGCACCTGCTCGTAGAGCACCGTCTTCTCGGCGATCAACCTCGCGATGATGTCCTCGTAGTTGTTTCTCGCCTTCGCCTCCTTCGCCAGCTCCAGCTGCATCTCGTCCAGGTGCTGCTGCATCCTCTTCATCTCGTCCTCCTGGCGCGCGATCGACAGCATCGGCTTCACCTTCGTGTAGAGCTTCCACCAGGGCCAGTTGCGGCACTGGATGTACTTGCGCACGTTGCGCTGGATGAGGATCATGCCGAGCCGCTGCGCCTTCAGCTTCGCGTACTCGGCGCGCCCCTGGTAGCCGCGGATCTGAGCCTGCGTCAGCGTGATGACGCGCGTGATGCACACCTCGCGGAGTTCCTCGAGGCGACCGAGCACGCCCGCCTTGAAGAAGATCTTCGTGCCTCCAATCTTGTAGTCGTTCACGTCCCAGTTGAGCGCCAACAGCAGCGATGAGGCTATCTGCTTGCCGTCGGTGAAGCCATCCGGTACGCAGTTCGGCGCCAGGATCTGGTATCTGTGTGCGAAATACGTGTATATAGTGAGTGTGTGTTCGGGGGGGGGCGGTCTGAGGTGTGTGTGTGTGTGTGTGTGTGTGTGTGTGTGTGTGTGTGTGTGTGTGTGTGTGTGTGTGTGTGTGTGTGTGTGCATGTGTGTTTGCATCTGTGTAATGTATATATTTCTACATAACTATATTGATATGGGTATTGAAACCGACTTACCGTGCTCTCTCTCTCTCTCTCTCTCTCTCTCTCTCTCTCTCTCTAACTCTCCCTCTCTCGCTCTCTCTCTCTCTTCCAACTTTCTCCCGCTGTCTTTCTCTCTACTACTTTTTTTTTCTCTTCTCCTCTCGCTACGTTACTCTCTCTCTCTCTTTCTCTCGCTCTTCCTAAACCTATATAGCTACACCCATAACCACTTTAAAAGTGAGGATACATATGCAACGTAGAAATCTTCTAAAAAACTGTCCGCGTCGTACTCTCACCTATGCTTGAAGTCAGCGTAGAGCATTCTGTTCGGGTAACCCTTGCGGCAGATTCGTATTCCCTCGAGCACACCGTTGCAGCCCAGCTGGTGCATCACCAATGGGGCATCCAGCTCTCCCGCCTCCTTGCTCTCGTTGGGGATGATGCAGCGCACGAAGTGCGGCGCCGTGGCATTCAGCGCGTTCATCAAGCGACGCAACTGCTCCTATAGCAAACAAGCGATAGAAGGCTAGAGATAAAATATGGTATTTGCGAGAGAGATATCGAAGATAGAGTATACATAGTATATAGATAGAGTATAAATTATATATAGAGTGTCGAGCATGTAGAGAGTAGAGAGTATATATTAGAGAGTGAAGTATATATAAAATATAAAGTAAATAGAGAGTATATAGATCATGTATAGAATATAGAATATACAGAAGGTATAGAGTATATATAGAGAGGGTAGAGTATATGTTAGAATATATGGTATTCGTGTAAGGCAAGAGGTTACCAGAACTGCGTGGCCTTTCAAGCCAAGCCAGCCGTTTCAATACAATGGCATTTAACAAAATTATCACTTTCTATGTATCGACGGATTTGTAGATAAATGTCAATATCAAGCAAACCGTCAGCATATTAATAATAATGATTTATGAATATAAATACCGATAAATACATATTACCGACATTACATTTACATATTAATGCGATTTAGGTTTAAACGTGAACGCTAAAAGCCCGTTTTGAACGTTGTACACAGCCATAATTTTGGATTTCGACGTGATCCTTGCTCGAATGTAACGCGAAACATGTGTAGTCGAACACTAACCCTGTAGATGGTTGAGACGGTGAGAAAACCGGAACCCTTTCGTCGCCTGACTTTGCCGCCGGTCTCTTCGTCGTCTCCCAGTTTGTCGTAATACAGCTCGGAAAGAAGTGGATTCCCCTTACTGCGTGCGAACAGCTCGCACACCGTGTCGTTGAGAGGATCCTTATTCTTGTCTATCCAGAAACTGGTGTTGTAGTTAACGATTCCCGCGTAGTGTTTGATGCCAAAGTTCGCCTCTGTTGTTCCGGCCTTGACCGCCTTCGGTTTGAGGAAATTGGGCGATTTTCCGAGATGGTTGTCCATCATCTTCTGCGTGAAGGTTTGATCGGTGGCCTTCGGGAACATGCACTCCTCCTCGAGGATCGAGAACATGCCCATCGGCTTCTCAATCAGGTCGATGCACGGCTGAAGGTCGAGTCCGAAATCGATGAAGGTCCACTGAATGCCCTCGCGCTCATACTCCTCCTGCTCCAGCACGAACATGTGATGATTGAAGTACTGCTGCAGCTTCTCGTTGGTGAAGTTGATGCAGATCTGCTCGAAGCTGTTGAAGTCGAAGATCTCGAAGCCGGCGATATCCAGCACGCCGATGAAGAACTGCTTCTTGGCGTTCGTGTCGAGCGTCTTGTTCAGACGCGACACGAGCCAGCGGAACATGCGGTCGTAGGTCGCCTTCGCCAGCGTGCCTATGGCGTACATTACCTGGTCCCGATTCTGTCCCTTCTGCACCAGCTCGGAGCCGACCTTGATGCGCGGCTTCAGGAGACCCTTGAAGAGGTCGGCGTCGGAGATGCCCATCAGATGGGCGACCTTCTCTCCGGCCTCGGTGCCGTCGGCTTCCGCCTGCTCGTCGCGGGTGCGCTGCTTGAAGTGCATGTTGCCGAGGTGCATGACGGCGGCAACGATCTTATAGATGTTCAACTTTTCGTCGTCGGTGAAGCCGAGAATGTCGAACGCTTCCTGCGTGGATAGAGTCGGCGGGACGCGGTCGTTAATAACGCGTTCTAGATAAAAGATGATCTTACCTGGTGCTATACAAGGCACCCACTAGAGGGAACAGGGTTGTAACAAAGTGTATCTGATTAAAGATGCCTAAATAAATTCGGGGATAAATAAATAACTATGTAATTACGTTCACTTTGACATTTTTCAAAACTAGCAACGGCCCTGACACGCTTAGTAGACTGTTTTCGCGTAAAATCTACTTTGCTTATCTATTTTATTCGTTAATCTAAGCTCGCACCATTACACAAAGATGTTTATATTTGATAACTATATTTATATAAAAATTGATGCAAAACTCGCAGCGAATGAAGCCGATAATTGATATATAAATCCATAAATCTACAATAAATTTATTGGCGTAATGCACATATGTGCATAATTTAATTAATTTATTTACACACACACACAGACACAGACACACAGACACACACAAACACACACACACACACACACACACAGCACACACACAACACACACACACACACACACACACACACACATATTATATATATATATATAATATAGATATATATATATATATATATACACGCACACACACCCACACACACACACACACACACACACACACACACACACACACACACACACACACACACACACACACACACACACACACACACACACACACACACACACACGCACGAGTTATATTAGTAAGTCTACGATCGTACGGAATTTACGTACGTCGGTGAGGCGCATCTCCTCGGCATCATCGACACCATCAATGTATGTCTTGCCCTGGCTCTGGAAGTGATAGTGGCCGATTGGTTCATTCAGCAGTATCTTCGCTGTGGAGAAAACACGCCGACCGGTCAGAACTAGCGCAGCGCCAAAGTGTCACAGCGGGCACATTTCAAGACTAAAAGGTTTCACACAGCGTACTACACTCGAAGAGATCTCACAGAGGGTATACCACGAAACAAGCGCAAAGGATTCGCAGAGGATATATTTCAAGGCTGAAGGTTTCACAGAGGGTATACTACTCTACACGCGTGAACGTTTCGCGGAGGCTAAAAAAGCACTTGGTTCACATGTAATCGTATACGAATTTTCGAAATTAAAAAGCAAATTATATTCACCTATTTTCGATTGACAGATAATGAGGTGGGTGGGTGTTTGAGTGGGGGGGGGGTGTAGATGCCTGCTAATGTGTTTTTACTTGCGTCCTACGATTACGGCTAAATATAGCATACGTCGCGAAGAACAGTCGGTGTCGGCGATTAATTACTGCATCCTAACTACGCGATTGATTGATTTTTTGCCGTGTCTGTCACAGTGTGATGTTCGGCAGACGGTTGCAGGGAATCATTAAGCGATTGAGTCGCATGCACGTTCAGCTAGATATGAAGTGCAGCCTCGCTTAACTAACCTTTAAGGTCGGGGAAGGCATTCGATGTAAGCTGATAGAAGATGTGGTAGCTGCGCTCCATGTCAGCCTGCGCAACGACACGAGATTTTTCCAGCAGATCTACGAGGCGGAAAGAAAGCACGCGGTTTTTTTTATTACTGGAAGCAATACCTGCGAGAGCTGCCACATATAATGTATTGTCGCAAATGTAGAATGCGTGACACGCGTACAAATTGTGACACATTCAGAGGCACGGACACACACACGCGCGAGCTTTGTCATTACAAATTAACAGCCTGTTCTGCTAGCATTTATGACAAATACGACATACGCATATACGCTCTCCTATGACACTATTTGTCATAGGAAGATTCTTTCTATGACAAATACGACATACGCATATACGCTCTCCTATGACACTATTTGTCATAGGAAGATTCTTTCTATGACAAATATTGTTGTATGTGTTGTGCGCATCATAGGAGTTTAGGAGCGCTATTATGAACGAAATCAGTGAATTTAAGCTGTAAAGCGGAACGAAGTTGACTCGCTAATATTTGTCATAGAAAGAATCTTCCTATGACAAATAGTGTCATAGGAGAGCGTATATGCGTATGTCGTATTTGTCATAGATGCAAGCAGAACATGTTCGAATTAAATTTAATTCGGGTTGATTTTTAACGCGTCAGTATCATATGCATATATATATATGTGTATATGAGTCATACATGATTCGATGTCACCACCGGCAAGCCTGCCCTTGGTGCCGAAGTGGATTCGAATAAATTTTCCCTAAATGGCAAAGAAAAAAATCGCATTAAATTACGCGCCGAAAATAAACGCCCATACGGAGACTCGCACATCCGCAATTACATCGAGAGAAAAAACAGTTGTGAATGTCAATATATATCTGCCATCAAAACCAATTGTAAACATCCGTCTTTTTACACGTAGTAGCAGATCGAATACGAGACATATATACTTACGAAACGCGACGAGTTGTCATTTCGTACAGTCTTCGCGTTGCCAAAGCTCTCCATGACAGGGTTAGCCTGAACAATCTGATCCTCCAAGGTGATCTTTATAATAAAAAATCCGATAAAATATCTATTTTTGAAGGGTTTTGCAATCGCATTCGTAAGGTGATGACTCCTCTGAGGGGATGAAGGCACTAATTAACCCGTACGTGAGCCTGCGTGCGGTAGGTGCTCATAATAACACATGTGTTTTATTATAGGGAAAACTTTTAATATTACTATTGCTATTAATATTGCCACATTCTGAATTGTTATTGTTATTGTTTTTGTTATTATTATTATTATTATTATTACCTCCGCCAAGGGGTTGGCAGGAGGTTATGTTTTCACCGGCGTGTGTTTGTTCGTTTGTGTGTTTGTTCGTTTGTGGGTTTGTGCGTTTGTGGGTTTGTAACACCGTTCTTTTGTGTACAGCCTAACTAAAAAAGTTATGGACGGATTGTCATTACATTTTCAAGATAGGTCAGAAATGGGCTAACTTAGAATTGATTACATTTTGGTGGTGATCCGGATCTAATTAATTAATTAATTAAT